TGTTTCTGTTGGTTGGTAGGTTTTAGCATTTCTGGTAGTAATGGTTTGTACACGATCAAAAACTGTAGTTAGTACGAGTGTATGTAATCAGATGGAACACTCCAAAAAGGATGAGTCTGTCCAGACCCTGTGCAGACTGAGTTTATCTGTGGTTTCAGAGGGTGTTTTGGTGGAAACCTGCCTGGGGTGTGAACAGGTGAATGATCTCCTTCCACTTGGAAGGAGATTAGAGAGGCTGAGCTTAGAGACGAAGTTGAAAGTCTAAGGAGCATCAGGGAAAGTGAAAGGAAAATCGATTGGTGGAGTTCAGCCCTTCCATCCTTGAGGGAGGCCCACCAAGAATCTGAGAACTCCCGTGCCTTTCACTGTCAGACAACAGGACGCCTGGTAGATGACGAGGAGTGCAAGTGGGTACCTACTCAAGGAGGTAATAATAAAAATTCCTCCCAAGCCAGGTGCCACTAATAGGTATGATCCCCTGGATCTAGAGAGGCAGCCAGATGGTTTAGAAGAAAATTATCTGCCCAGTGAGCCTCCCAGTTATGATTAATCTGTCAGAAGATTCACCACCTCTAACATCAAAAAGGAAAGAAGGGTAATAGCAGTGGGTGATGTTGACTGCACCCACCCCACAGAGAAGTTTGCTGCCTCCCTGGGGCCAAGTATGAGACATTACTGAGAGACTTTCTGGGCTGACTCAGCCCTCTGATTATTATCCACTGCTGATACCCCAGGCTGGCAGTGATGAGATTGAAAAGAGCAGTGTCAGGGCAATTAAAAGGGACTTTAGGGCACTGGGACAAGTGGTTGATAGGACAGGGGTACAGGTAGACTTTTCCTCAGTCCTTTTGGTGGCTGAGAAAAATGGTGAAAGCAATAGGAGAGCTCATTATCAATAAGTGGATCAAGGGTTGGTGCCATCAGCAGAATTTTGGGTTCTTTGATCATGGGGCAACTTTTCAGCATCTGGCCTGCTGGAACCAGATGGGCTCCATTTCTCTGTTAAGGGCAGAAGAATTTTAGCTTGTGAACTGGCAGAACTCATTCAGAGGGCTTTAAAGTAGGTTTGAAGGGGGAAGAAAATGCAGCTGGGCTGTCTGGAAGCAGGCCCAAGGGTGGTAATCCCGAGTTAGGGGTGAAATCAGCAGCCCAGCTGAGGTGCATGTACACCAATGCACACAGCATGGGTAACAAGAAGAGCTGGAGGCCGTGGTGCAGCAGCAGAGCCATGATGTAATTGCCATCACAGAAACAGGGTGGGATGGCTCACATAACTTGAGCACTGCAATGGATGGCTGCAAGCTCTTCAGAAGAGGCAGGAAAGGGAGAAGACGTGGAGCAGAAGCCCTTTATATTAGGGAGGCTCTGGATGCCAGTTAGTGAAACTAATGATGATGAAGTTGAATGTCTACAGGTGAGAATTAGGGGGAAGCCAACAAGGCTGACATCCTACTGGGAGTCTGTTACCATTCACCCAACCAGGAAGAAGAGGTGGACAACTCATTCTATAAGCAGCTAAAGAATGTCCCTGGATCACCAGCCCTTGTTCTTGTAGGCAACTTCAACCTGCCAGACATTTGCTGGGAACTCAGTACAGCTGACAAGAGGCAGTCCAGGAAATATTTTGTGTATGGAGGACAGCGTTTTGTCATAGCTGGGGGGTGAGCCCACCAGGAGAGGAGCTATGTTAGATCTGTTATTTGCAGATAAGTGATGAGTTGTTGGGAGATGTGGTGGTTGGAGGCTGCTTGGGGCACAGTGATCATGAAATTATAAAATTTTCAGGATTTGGTGAAGTCAAGAGGAACATTAATAAGATTTTTACACTGGACTTTCAGAGGGAAGACTTTGGCCTATTCAGAAGACTTATTCAGAGAATTCCTTTAGAAATAGTCCTTAAAAACAAGGAAGGGTAGACGTACATCAAAATGGAGATCTTGAGGGCACAGGAACAGACTGTCCCCGAGTGACAAAAGACAAGTCAACGAGGCAAACGTCCAGCCTGGATGGGCAAGGAGGTTTTGAGTGCTGTGTCCAGTTCTGGCCCCTCAGTTTGAGAAGGACGTTGAGATGCTGGAGTGTGACCAGAGGAGGGCAACAAGGCTGGTGAGGGGCTTGAAACACAAACCCTGTGAGGAATGGCTGAGGGAACTGGGGTTATTTAGCCTGGAGAAAAGAGACTCAGGGTGACCTCATCACTCTCTACAACCCCTGAAAGGTGGCTGTGGTCAGCTGGGGTTGGGCTCTTTCTCCAGGCAGCACTGACAGAACCAGAGATCACAGTCTCAAGCTGCACCAAGGGAAACACAGGTTGCATATTAGGGAGAAATTTATTACAGAAAGGGTGATAAAGTTCTGCAATGGTCTGCCTGGGGAGGTGGTGGAGTCACCATCCCTGGATGTGTTTAAGAGAAGATTGGATGTGGCACTCAGTGCCATGGTTTAGTTGAGATGTTAGGGCATGGGTTGAACTCAATGATCTTTAAGGTCTCTTCCAACCCAGTCATTCTGTGAATTCCGTGTGAATTAATTAGCAAATAGTCTCCTTAATTCAGCAAATCTTGTCTGTGCTCCAAATTTCTCATATCCAGAAAAAGATTTACCAAAGCAGATCATTGATTATTTTCTTAATGGATTCAGACAGGATGTACCTTTCACTTCAGGTATGGAGTTCTGTCAAAACAGCACTCCTACCTGCTACCTCAGGATGAATTTAGCAGCTAATCATTCCACATGACCTTTAGTTAATCTGAAGGCTTGTGCTTCTGGCTCTCATCCCTAGCCCATCATGGTGGTAAACTGAAGTCACACAACAATTCTTTATCTGCTTCTCTCTTCTTCTATTAGTAAATTGATGAAACTTGACTTGTGAGGACATTACACAAAAATGAGGGTACACAGAATTATATGACCATACAAATTCATTACTGTGATTGTGTCCCTTGTAACTTCCTCAGCATCTGGTATTGATATTCGTGAGTAAACGTCAAACCCTACAGAAGCTGTATGGTTTCCTGTCCTTTCATGTACAGTTAATGATTGTGCACTGTAGAAACACATGCATTTGTTGAATGAAACACCCCATAAAAAACAGACAGATGGTTTGGTCACAGAACTCATTTTAGCATGTGAGTGAGCAACCATCCAAGACCAAAACCGACATCTTTTATTTTTTAATGCTATGTAATTTGTAGTATTCAACTGCATTTACCCCTTTTGTGGCAAACTGATCATTCTCCATGCTGAAGTCTTCAAGACCAAGTGTAATCACTTCTTTTCATGCTCTGCAACCTCCTTTCCCTGCTGTTTCCTTAAATCTGCTCGTGCTGGCCCAAGATGCAATGGTATACAGAGGAAGATGAAAAGCAGCAACAAGTTTTAAAATTTGGCCTTGCTCTTCAGAAGGAAAAGAAAGACATAGCAAAATGAAATCAAAGTGCTCCTGGCCCTGCATGTTGGACTAGATTTGGGGAGAAAGGAAGTGGATTTTGCAACAGTAGCAATGACCTCTGTACACAGAAGGGATGTGGTCTATGATCAACAGCAGGTCAGTAAATGACAGAGCAAGAGCAAGCTGAGAGAGAGAACCAATACTTCAGATAATGCAAAAACATGTTTTAGCAGCACCACTATGCATAATTACTTCTTTCAATTAGCATGATTCTTTAGTGATTTTTTACAGAAATACTTCCTAATTACTATGTAACACTATCACAGCTACTTGCTATGGATTTTTTTGAAGATGGTGGACCATATAAACTTGATAGTCTGTACCTCATCTCATTACTAGTCTGTTGCACATGAAAAAAATTCCATTCCTTGTTTTGAGTACAGCTCCTTCTCATTTCTCTTGCTGAACTAACAGATTTATATTCAGTTTTTAAATAAGACTATATGATGGCTCAAGCTTTTAGTACTCAAATGAGCTGTGAATTGCTGCTTCTCTCTCCATATTCTTCCCTTAACTGCCTCTCAAAAAAATTAAACATTCTCCAAACGCCAGCAAACATGGTGTGGTGAATATTATTCTCCTGCAGAAATCTATGGGAAGAAACAGTGAGACAGAGGAACTTGGTGGGGTATCTCCCAGGACATTTATAATGGAAGAAATAATGTTAACTTTAGACTCTTCTAGTGGTGCCAGGATGAGCCTTTCCAAGATGTCCATTTCAAGATGAGGATTTGCTGAGTTTTGTTCTAGGTACGAGAAGTCTGACAGTACCAGAGTTCTCTTACAAGTGGAAACTGCACTTTGAGACACAGTGATGTGTTATGTGGCACTGTGCAATCCACTGCAAAGGCCAGCATGTGCGACTGTGTTAGGCAGAATGTGCATTTCAAAACTGATGGCTCACAAATAGAGTATTTGTGTGCTTGAACAAACACAGAGCTTTGTGGCTGCAGTAATTCACAAACTCATATAATATGCTGAGTTGGAAAGGACCCATCAGGATCATTCTGTCCAATTCCTGATCCTGCACAGCACCATCCCCATGAATCACACCATGTGCCCAAGAGTATTGTCCAAACCTTTCTTGAACTCTGTCAGGCTGTGACCACTTCCGTGGGGAGCCTGTTCCAGTGCCCAACCACTCTCTGAGTGAAGGACCTTTTCTGATCATGCAGCCTAAACCCCCCCTGACTCAGCTTCATGCCATTTCCTCAATTCCTGTCACTGGCCACAAGAGTCAAGAGATCAGTGCCTGCCCTTCACTTGTGAGGATGCTGAAATCACAACGAGGTCTCTCATCAGTCTCCTGCAGGCAGAACAGCACAAGTGACCTCCAGCTGCTCCTCATACGATCCCCCTCCAGACCCTTCACCAGTTTCACTGCCTTTTGAGCATTCTCCAAAAGCATAATGTCTTTTTTGTATTTGGTATAGGTGAGGCACCCCCAGTGCAGAGGGGGACAATCCCCTCCCTTGCCCAGCTGTGATGCTGTGCCTGATGCACCCAGGACATGGTGGCTCTCCTGGCAGCCAGGGCATTGCTCACTCACATTCACTTTGTCAATCAGGACCCCTAGCTCCCTTTCCATGGAGCTGCTCTCCAGCCTCTCATTCCCATCTATACACATACACAGCGTTGCCATGGCCCACTCACAGAACCTGGCACTTTCCCTCATTAAACTTCACACAGGTGATGCCTGCTCAGCCCTCTCATCTGTCGAGGTCTCTGCAAGGCCGCTGAAGGAGTAGACAGCTTCTCCCAATTTAGTGTTGTTGGCAAATGTACTTAGTATCCCTTCCAGTCCTGTGTCCAGGCCATTTATGAAGCTGTTGAAGAGCACAGGACTGAGGACAGAGCCCTGTGGAACCCCACCAGTGACAGGTCACACCAGTCTGATGTCACCCCATTTCCAGTTCCCCTTTGTGCCTGATCCTTGAGTCAGCTGCTCACCCACCACGTGATGTGTTTATCCAGCTGTGGGCTGGATGTTTTGTCCAGAAAGATACTGAGACAGTATGGAAAGCTTTACTGAAACCCAAAAAGATTTCAGCACCTGGCTTTCCTTGCTCAGATAGGTGGGTTATGTTGGTGTAGAAGGAGATCAGGTTGGACAAGCAGGACTTTCCCCTCATGAAGCTGTGGTGGCTGTGACTGAACACTGGGCTGTCCTCCAAGTGTTTTTCAGTACTCCCAGAATCATCTTTTCCACAATTTTACCTGGCAGTGAAGTGAGACTTCACTGTAGTTTTAGGGGTCTTCCTTCTTTTCCTTCTTGAAAACTGGGATAAATGTTCACCGGCTTCCAGTCACCTGGAACGTCTTCCGATTCCCAAGACTGCTCAAAAACCATGGAGAGAGGCTTTGTGATGACATCAGCCAGCTCTTTGAGGATTCCTGGATGAATCCCATCAGGCCCCATAGATTTGCAGGGAGCCAGATGGAGATCTTGCATAAAAGGATCTTCAGGGTCAAAAGGGAATTGATCTTTCTCAGTCATGGTTCTCCAGCTCAGGGCACTGAGACCTCCTTGGGGTCAGTCATCCGTGGCCCATCATCCATGTTAAAGACGGAGGCAACGAAAGCACTGCACACCTCTGCCTTGCCCCTGTCCCTGCTTGTGAGATTACTTTCCTCATGCTCTAACAGGCTGGTGTTATTTCAACACTGCCTTTTGCCATTAATGTAGTTGAAAAGACTGTTTTTATTGTTCCTGTTTCTGGCCAGCTTCCACTCCAGTTGAGCTTTGGTTGCATAAATTTTCTAACTACAATGGGAAGCAGCATCTCTGCATTTTCCCCGTGTTACCTAACCTTCATTGGGCATATACTTTACTTTTTCCCTTATTTCCAAGAGAAGATGCCTCACCTGCCTGACTCCCAACATTTAGGAATTGCCTGCTACAGTGCCCCTAGATAATGTCTAAAAAATGACCAGCACTGATGGACCCCAGCACCTGCCTGAACATTTTCCCAGAGGATTTTACTTACTAGTTCCCTGAGCAGTCTGCTCTCCTCATGCTCAGAGCTGAGGTTTTGCTGAGATTTTCCCTCACATCAACAAAGATTTTAACCATTTCATGGTCACTGAGGCCAAGATGGAGCCAATCTCCACTCACAAGATCCTCTCCGTTGACAAGCAGTAGGTCAAGGAGGGAATCTTTCCCAGCTGGCTCCCTTCACTTCTGTAAAGCTGTGACCAAAGTTTTTAAGAATGTTACAACCTGGGTTGGACCAGCTGTGTGATGGCTCCCAGTTGATTTCTGGCTAGTCCCCTATAAGGCAGTTGATTTGGAAGTGTCCCCTAGATCCTCCAGTCTTATGCTGTTAAGTAAATACATCTACCAAGGTTAGCAAACACTAGAATTGGAAAAAAGCTGCAGCAATGCCACTGTTCCTGAAAAGCCAAGCCTGTCTATTGTGTATGTAAGACTAAATAAGAAATGAGGAACTCCATCCTTTGTTAAGCAAGCTGTCATTCCTGAACCAGTTGATAAGCACTGTGGCATGCAAGTCACAAATCTGCAAGGTGAATCAGTTGCAAGGAAATACCACATCTGAAAGTCAGATGGTTGTGTGCACCTCAGTGTGAGCTGTGGGAGACAGAAAGTTACAGCAGCCACATGAGATAGAGAACTGGGGCTGCAGGCAGTAGTTGAAAGCAAGAAAGGAAAACAGAATCACAAAAGAATACACAGGATGCAGTATGTTGTAGCAGTGATATGATTTACTGCAAGTTAGCAAGAGAAATTGTCAGCTAATTAATGAGAATGCCAGGAGACTCTAAAGGAGTGGTAACACAGGCTTGTGAGCAAAGGCAGACACTGCACAGGCTGAGGAAGTGACTGAGATGCTGTGACACAAAGGTGGGGAGCACAGACCAGATCAGGAGAGAGGAGCAGGGCAATTCTGCTCTTCAGGCTAGGACTGATCATGGCCAAACTAGTGATGATGCTGGAAGCTGCTCTGCTATGTACTCATGTGCAAAAATGTGACTTAGCAAGTATCTGAGCTCACAGATTGATACCTTTCTCTTTTCCAACATTTCCCAAATTCAAAAGGTATGTGTGTGAACCTGCATAAGGATTCTCAAAAACATAAATTAATCTTCAAATATGACTGAGTATCTAGAACACCTGCTATAGATGCAGCTATTAAAATGCCCTATGTAAATGAAAACCACTTAAATAACTACATCTGTCAACTTGGTTTACATTATCTTAAAACTAAAATCACACAACTCCACTTTTTTTTTCTTTGTTTTTGGTTTTGTTTTACTATCAGTTTTTTGTGTGACCGTGGTTAATTAAACCAGCATAATTCAGGATGCATCACTTACTACAGTTAGGGCACTGCAAAAGTGTAACACATCTCCTCAGCTGATTCACAGTGCAAACAGTATGCCTAAGAAGCACTTTCATCCCTGCAAAGTTTCTTCTGGATAAGTAAATAATATCTTTAGAACACAAGGCTTTGAGTATGTTGGATTTTCACACTCTCAGAAATATGGTACAGAATTTCAGATCAGTTTCTAAGGCTCTCTCAACATAAGGATAAATAAAAAGTTGTGTGATACAGTTAAGGTGGCAAAACACCTAAAACACAAGTGGCTGCTGCCAGTAGTACTTCAATTTGTATGATGATGCACAGAAATATGCCCAGTAATAAAAGAAAACCATACACTCCTCAGAGAAAGAACAGAACAAAACTGTCTAAGTGTACATCATACATTTATTACTGAACAACTCTTTCAACTCCAAAATTGGGCACAGGGATTAAAAATAAAAATCCACTGCACTACCTAGTAAAGCATTACTAGTAACTCTCATAAAAAATGTACAAATTTTGTTAAAAATTTATCAACCTTTCAAATGATTTGGTTACAGATATTTATAACAAATTTAAAACTACATGTTAAATGATACAATAGCATATGATTTAAAGAAAACACTTAACAACATATGATTCCAACAAAAACCATAAGCTTTCATAATAATTAGAAAGTCTGAAACACAAGTAGCAAAATGAGGTAACAATGTACCAAAGGAAAAAAACACAGCTTTTACAAAGGCCCAAAGATAACTCAGTTGAAACTGTTTTCTACAATTAAAATTAGAACAGTTGTTAAGTCTCATCCCAAGTATTATGCATTGTGTTAACAGCTGTGAAGTCACATTCAAGTGCCTGTACAAAATGACATACAACACATGGCCTTACTTCTTTTTTTAAAGAAAGCCAAAAAATGAGACACTGGAATTATCTGTAGGCCTTGATATCCACCAAAATGTCAAAATTAAATTGACAGTTTATGCAAAAAAACCACAGTAGTGCCAATATGATAAAGCAAACATATTGGAGGTCAGGTATTTTTGTTTTTTTTGGATAAATAAGTCATTGGATGGCAGAAAGGCAACAAACATAAAAGAAGTGTTGCTGAATTCAGGTGCTATCAGGCACCACGGCAGCTGTGCATAATACATGGCAGTTAAGAGCTCAACATAAATCCCCTGCCCGTGACAGCCCACCACAGAAGATGTGGTTGTAGCCTGTCTGAGCTAATTCAAAATACAAGCATGTGTGCTCTTTGTACACACTAACCACGGGAAGCAAGTCCCTTTTCACCCAAGCAAACCCAAGAACCATTCCAGAAGAGACAAGCCATAACAGTGCAACGATTAACTGCAGGATTTTTCCTACTTAGACCCTCCACCTCCTTGACCTCCCACTGTCCCAATGAATTTTAGTGGGGGAAAAGGAACATTTCTCCAGTTCCAGAAAGAGAACTACTTTCCCTCAGCTTCAGAAGTATCTGTCCTGTTCACTTATATCAAGTTTAGAAAAAGTACCCTCTTTCTATTCTTTGAACTGAATACTAAACACAAAAATGTTAGTCATATTTAAATCTGACCATGGGTTCTTTTTCTTTTGCAGTTATATAAAAGAGGCTAAGTTTTGTAAGACATACGTGGCATATGCTTTTTAAACATAATCTTATTTGTTAAAAAAATAAATTTTATTACATGTAATTTAACCTGCTATTTTCGTATTGTGAAAAGCCTATTCTTTAACTCCACTGGAAGAGAGGAAAAAGAAATTATAGTATTTTGAAGTGGAATTAAGCATTTTTATTTAGTGTTCCTAAGTAAGGACAGGTATACAAAGCGCTACTGCTTTTCAGAACTACCTGCATAACTAAACAGAGGGAAAAACAACTGAAACAGGGCAAAATTGTGCTTCTATTCAGCTGCACCAAGAGCTTTGACTGATACATTGATAAAGTAACTTGTAAATCAGCCATTAAGAAATCCAGACTTTGTAACATATGATACAATCCCCAAGGTTACTCATGTATGAAGAATGAATGCGTTCTTTAGTGGTACACACTTAAAGCCTCCAGTGAAGGGGAAGCATATCAGCTGTTTGAATAGTTATGGGATTGTTATACTAACAAGAACTCCAAGGATTTTTTTAGCTTAATTTTGTGTGTGCACTGACATTCCCTGGGTTTTGTGTGATCATTCCAAGTATTGCTGCAAGATTACTGTGGATGTGATCTTTTAGCATGTGCTTTTATATAAAAGAAAAAAAAAGTGATAGCTCCAAACAATATAGCAATTTACCTTACATAGATCCTTCAGATACTGTGAGTGGGGGTGAATGGTGTGAGTGTGTGCTTGCCTGAGAGGGTGACTGAAGTGTGCTTGTGACCAGGTGTGCCTGCGTGTTTGAGAATTTATATACCAGCATGTACTAACAACATAATGTGTGTAGTAATAATTATGCTGCAATGTATAATCTTGTGTGTTATTTGAACAGTACTAGTACTCTACACTGGTTCCTCTCCTTGTGTTTGCACAATGCAATGGGTGCAGCAATTACAGACATACAGTATTTTGTCCCAAACATATTTACAAGTGTATAGACCTTTCTATCCCCTAACTGTGAAGACTAATTATAAGCTTTGTAACTGATTAAGTCACACAGTGCAAAGTAAGGTCCATTGACCCTTTTGTGTAAAGGGTAGGCTGGAAGCCACATGGGTAGGTAAGTTCAATAGAGAGTTTATATATACATGTGTATACATATATACAGAAACATATATTCTGTGTATACATATATACAGAAACACCCAAACCAGATTTGTGCTCTTGGATTGGTCATTCTGAATCACGATGCACTTCTGAAGCATCAGCTCTACAAATCGGGCAGGTACGATTTGCCTGTAAAACCAGAAAAACAAAATAAGGTCAACCAGACCGACAAATACATTGTTAAAGTAATTTGTATGTGACATTGACATCTGTGACTGCTGAAGAGCAATTCAAGAGAAGACAGAATGTGCTTACGCCTTTTCTTAATTTGTTTTGTTATGTTTGAATGGTGTGGCGAGTTTGCCGATTCAAAATTACATTTACAAAAAAATAATTGTGCCTTTTATCTTTAAAGCCAAGCAAGACAACAAATAAGGCTCTAGTTAAGTGATGGTGGTTTCATTAATGTGGATTCACAATTATAGTATATTGCAGTCAGATGGATGCAACTAACAACCTGTACTGTACACTGAAGAGAAAACCACCAAAACAAACTGAGACACTTTGGGCTCAAATAAGCATTTTGTTTGAAGATGTCAAACTGTCATGAATTGTACTGACCAGGAATGCCATCATACTTTGTTTATTCGGTTATTGTCACAGAAATACATTATACAGACTTGGTCAAAGCTGAAAGAAAACCAGGGAAAAGGGAGGGGCTTTAAGTGAAGTGGAATAAAAAAAAATAAAGAAAGAAAAGTTGACCCGACCAAGCATGTATTCAAGTACTAGAATCCTCTCAAAACCATTGCACTACTTTGGTGTTAGTCTACTAGAAATAAGCTGAAGTATAGCTACAGTTTGTCTTTCCTTATATATAATACATCACTTCCTAGTATGTTAAATATAAAAGCAGGTTATCCTTTTAACATTGTTCTCAACCCTCAAGGTGAAGACAGGTCATGGTGTCAAGCTCTCTTTTGGAATGATGACTTTTATTTTATAGAAGAACTCATTTCTCATGTGTTCATACTTGACTAGAGGGTATAGCGTTAAGAAGGAGCAAAATACAGTGAAGCATGGGAACTTGGAATACTACAAAAAGTGAAAGGATAACCTCTCTCTTTTTAGTTCTTCTGTTTCTTCCACATTCTATCTTCTCTAGTTAAGTCTTTCAGCTTGTTTAAATAGGGGAAGTATTTTAGCTGAAGTGGGCAACTCAATGCACTATTATAGAACATTTCCTCTTACTTGCTCACCACCTAAAAATATAGTACCATCACACATTCCATTCATACACAAAACACAAGCCACAAAACATCTTTAGATAGTTTTTTACTTCACCATCATCACCAACAGGCAACCCTAGAAGAGTACTTTTGAAGTAATCAGTTGAATCACTAACCTTTTACTTATATCTTTCACTAAAGTGACATATGATGGAACTTAAAAAAAATTAATTTGACTCCATAGTTCTAGAAATAGTCCTAGATAACAAATATATTTTTCAAAGAAATGAGATTAAGTTAATAAAAAATAGTGACTGATCATTTTTTGTCTACTTAGTGGAATAACATTACAAATACTGAAAGCTACGATTTTAACTTTCCCTTGTAGAACTCATGAACATGATGTTGGCTGGATGATGTGAATTAGGTAGATGTGGACATAATTATACAATCAAGATACTTTCAGAAAAGCTCTCAAATTCATTAAAAATGGATAGAAGCAAAACTAAAGCACAAAATATTTCCCAGTTACTATCACTTCCAGATGTTAGCTTAACTGCAGCCAAGTTTAGACAGAAGCAGTGAAACAAACTGGTGTTACAGGTTATTCATTACAACTTCCAAAGCAAAATAGTCTTTATTTGCATATACATCTTTGTGCCATTGTAACTGAGCCCACATGGTGTAAAAGTAGTGTCTTAGTGAACCTACACTAGGATGGTTTAACCTTGTCTATCTTATTTTGCACTCAGAACTGGAGTAACAATGTCATTGCAAGTTCTACTAGGTTTAACTGCACCCCTCTACATTTTTATTGCATATCTTGCACCTCATTCTAAAGACAACCTTTAGAAAATACTACAGGTGAAGATCTGTTAGAAAATGGAGAGTCTAAGATGGGACAGGAACATCAGCAAAACTATTTCAACTGCTAGAACAGTATACTACGATTATGAAAACCGACTAAACTGTATTTGTTTTTTCACTTTGCAGTTCCAAATCCTATTGCCAGTTCATTAGTAATTGAAAGAACTAACTCTTAACTTTTAAAGAAACACACTTGAGTTCAAAAGAGATTAACAACATGATTGTCTGACTCCTGAGTGGAATGTCAGGCGAGAAAAGAGCATTAAGAGAAAGGCAAACACGCATGGTACTTTCTTGATGTGGTCCTTTAACTTCCAGAAATCTGCAGATCAGGGGGTCTATGAATCAGAGGCATATAATTTTTTGCATTAATTGCCTGGAAAGAACTGTCTTTAAAATAATCCACATAATAAACCTATAGTGTCCACTATCTCACAGGCTATGTCAGATGACTTTTTCTTTTTTTTCCCCTTTCTTTCCTTAAAGTGGAGAGAATACTATCCCTGGATACTCGCTGTCCCCACCACAACTGACTTAAGAGAGTTTCATGTAATGAAACACTGACACATGTAGTGTGGATGCTGCTCAAGAAGAGAACGGGGACACTGAAGACACCACTTTGATATAGACTCTACTCTTAATTTGTAGTAAGTGAAAAAAAACTGCATATGTCTAGCAGGAAAAACTAATAATGTTTTGTGGAGTCTGTGCAAGTGGCTTCTTACTATGATAATAAAACAACCAGGTGTTTAGATTACTCTTGCTGATTCTTGAGCATGTATGTGAATTCAGATACTTTTGGACCATTTCTATCAAAAATTATGAGCATTATAAGCAGTTACACTGGTGCTAGATTTTGTAGGAGCTTTAGACTTAGACTACTATGGGTATTGTAGCCAAAGGGCAATTTGACATCCCCTTTTTTCAAATCCTTCTCATTATTCTTGGGATCTTCTTAGGAAACGAAAAATATTGTCAACATTTACTTGATCTTTTTTCATTGTCTGCACTGCGTATTTTAGCACTTGCCTAAGATATGATGCCCTATTTATGATGCCACAAAGGCAAATGTGTTTTATTTCTTTTTCCAAAACACCATCTATGATTTTCTAGGGACCACATCAACATAGGATCACTGTAGTTTCCAAGATTCCACACAACAGACTAAATGGATTAAAGCTGAATAGAATAAAATACTTTAAAAACTGAGGCAAGATGAGAATCAATACCTTGGTGGCAGTAAATCTGGCTCAATGCAGACTGTAGAAATGTCTGCCATAATCTACTTGTATTTCTTGTTCTTCTCACCTTCTGCACAGCTACTATTTAATCAAGGCTTTTACTGGGCGGTCCTGACTCTTGAGCCTTTCTTTTTTGCTCAAATCCTCTTTGATGGGTACATTACTTTGTAAAATTCTAGTTTCTATTTCTATATATTACACTTCTGTGTATATGCATATACATAAATGTACATATGTAACCCACTTCATCTGCCCCAGAAACCAACATTAACAGCAAAGTGGGGAAGGAAATGTGTTGGTACTCATTCTTGCTAGGCAAGGTTTGTAAAATAGTTGAAGCCACCAGCATCATCAAACTTTGTATCATACCTCCTGTATAATTTACTTTTTCTCAAGTCTTCTTTAATGCTGTGTATTACTCAAATGCAGAGTTATTGTTTTAAGCACATGGAAAACACAGTAAGAGCAGTCTATGAAAACAATTGTATTCATACTCATTTTACATTGTGCCAAATATTGTGAAGAACAGTCTTCATAATGATTAGAATAATATAATATCTAGGTATTGCTTCCATTCCGCTAACATTTCTGAGTATCAGAAACACAAAACAAGATGAAATGAAGCGTAACAGCAAAATATCCCCACCCACTCCTACAAAACTACATAATCAATTTCATCTAAGATAGGATTACTTTTTCTTACCTTCAGCCACTTATCAACACATTTGGCATGGAACTCGTGGTTACACGGTAAGACTCTAAGTAGCTGCCTTGACTCAAAATCACACATGCACACCACACATCTAAAAAAGACAATGAAGTTCAAATGTATCTGCTATGTAATAACAACAAATATGCAATTCCATACAAAACCTTCCAAGTATGATTGCAACACAGCAGCTATTTTACTCCTTCAGTAGCTACAGTGATCTACATCTGACAAAGGAAACTGAGAACTGACTGTGGGTTTTATGGCTGTTTTGTTGGTTTTTTTTTGTTTACTGTGCTTTCACATCACAAATCAAGTATTCTTGCTTTTCTCACCTAACTGTGACTGCAAGTTAAAGAAATGAAAATCAAGCCACCTAAATTATGGATCCTTGAAAGAGACCAATATACTTACAATTTCTGCTCTGACTGGTGATTGTTTGGATTGAACCTGTAGGATGGAAGCTGCTCAATGTCTGCTTTTGTTAATCCCCGTAGTTTGGCTTCTCCCAGACGTTCTGCCAAGTTCAGCAGTGCCTGCAAAACATGGAAACTAGACATTTAAAAATTCACTGGTCAAACAGGCTCTGGTTCCATTAGTGTTGGGCACTACCATCACATCTGACTACACCAGCTGCTAGCTCAAAACACCCTTCTATCAAGAAATGTTTAGAACCTTAGATCTCTCACACAACACAAGCTCCCTGGAAAGTCTTTCAGGGCTTAACCATCTTCGTAATTATGTAAGGTATTATCTCTGCGATTTCAAAACCACTTCCCAAGGACCCAATTTCCAATTAGTCCCATGACTGCATACACAGCTCAATAAATAATTAGCTTCTGAGAGATCACCTCTCCCTGCTATGAAATTAACAGTGCTGGTAACCAGAAAGAAATTGTCAATTAATTTCCTTCGTAAGAATATGTGAATTTGGTCTTGTGAGAGAAATCATAAATTTAATGGGACAGTTTATGATCCCCACTCTGTATCTTGGGCTAGCTGAATTAAAATATGGAGATTCTATCCTCAGTCTGGAAAACAAATACAAATCATCAAACTTTAGGTGCTTTTTTGGTTGCTAATTTTTAAGTTAATTTTCTTTAAGCCAACTATTGCAACTAAAATACTTTCATGTATATAATTTGCAATCTGTCATTATTTAACTCACATTCCTTCATGAGGGGCCTAGGAAACAACACCAGTGTGACAGACAATCAATGCAGAGAAAAGATCCTATGAAAGCTGCAAATGGTATTGATTTTTTACACTGCTGAACCTGGGGCCCAAATTCTCATAAGACATTGCTGCTTCTGAACCACCACAGAAGTTATTAGAGAAGTGCTCATTGTTAAACTGAAGATGTGCAACTACACAGATATCTTACTGAGAGCACAGGCAAAGAGATGCAAAAGTCAAGCTAAATGATGACTATCTCAACAGAAACCAAATGGAATCCACTGGCTTCAGAACCAGCAAAGAAACAACAGCTGGAACAGCCCCATAGTTACGTAGGATATTTAAGAGGGTTCTGCATTTCTAGATGTGAATTACCATCCCCTCCAGAGGGCAAGAAGGCAGAAAGGCAATTTTATAAACATTATGTGTAGATTAATTAATCCTATGATATTAAAACTATTCTGAAAGTTACACTCATAAAACCAGTAACTTACCCTTTCTTTTGAAAGTGATTCACTTCTGTTTGGTATTTAAAATCAGTTAAATTTTGAAAGGAGAAGAGTAGCACGGAGAACATAAAAGTTGAACAATTTAATGATTACTAGCCTGAAAAGGTGAGTTCTGGGAAAAAGCAATAGACAAGAAAGAAAGCAAAACACTTCTAAATATTCAGTATTACAAAAAATATCTGAAAGGACAATTTTTGGATTCTGTCTTCACAGTCACTACATTTATTTGAAAAACAAAACCAGGATTAAAAGCAATATATAATAAAATTTTATCTACTGCTTGAGCTAACATCTGTTCTTTAAAGGCAGTTGTAGTTCACACACCAACCTCATAGTTTTCTACCTCTCCATCTTCCACATCCAACTCAAAGCTGAAAGGTGGTCCAACTGCCGGTGGCACTGGGAGCATTGATCTACCACAAGAGCAAACAAGGATAAGGTTCAGTATCTTGTTGAAGGAAAGCACAGAAACATCTGGCAGAGGTAAAGTAATCTTCCTGATGCCCCTCAAATCAACATGTTCTAAGAACTGGCAAAAATGTTATGTTTGAAGTCAAGAACAGACCTTTGAAGTGAAAGAGTCACAGGAAAATGCTTTTTTTGCTACTTTCTTATACTGGGAGTGCTGACTCATTAACTGCATGCATGCTTCACTTGATACACTTTTAACCAACCTCAGCTTTATTACAAAAATTAATCTCTTAATTATCACAGACTATGGAGACCTAAAACTGACAAAAAATTGACATTCTGGTTTTAAATGTGTTTTATTTCTTTAAGTGGATAGAAGACCATCAAAGAGTATGAATACTAAGTCCATTTAGATCTCCAACATAAAAGTCTTGCAACTTCTGCAAGCCTAAAACACACAGTGAAGATAAAAAGGATTTGCTACTGGACAAACCTATCCTAAAGACAAGCACAAATTCACTTTCTCATGTACTGTGATGTTAGTAAAAGCAGAATCCCTACAGACTGAGAGATCAAAGATATGTTTTTCTAGTCTTTTTACCCCACCAAGGTAGTGCAATGGGTCAAAACTTCATCCACAGACATGGAAATCACAAATTTAAAAACACTAATATAGTAGAATCAGGAATTGCTGTGCCACATCATATCCTCAATGAATAGACAAGAAGCTATGACACTACTCTCAGACTGCAACTTCGCTGAATCAGATTTCTGGTGCTATTTTCATGCCACGTCTGATGTTGCACAGAGAGGATCTACAGATCTGGTGTCAGTGCTTGATTATTTCTTTGTCAATGTCACCTTTGCAACCAGAAACTTAATCTTTGTTATCCAAACATTTAATTCTTACTTCTAATACAGAACACAGAAGTGTAGTACATCTCATGTCATAGACCCAAACTTTCTTCCAGAGCCTACCATAACACACTACAGATAATTCCTAAATGTTAATTGTCCCACATCTGTTCCAGAATCAGCTAATCAGAGGCAGAACAGAAAAGTGACAGAGTAGCACTTAAGCCAATAAAGAAGTCCACACTCTTGTGTTTTATAATTAAGAACAAAACCAAACTAATTTATTCAGTAAGTGAAGACTCCTACAACTCGATGCGACAGTGTAACTAAACCTCTGTAAGACTATCATAGAGCTATGGTTAAAATCTCTTGAAGATCTTACCAGGATTTCAGAAACAAGAGGCTACTGTGCCTCAAAATACCTAAAAAACTACACTGGACAAAAACTGTTCACTTGTATTTTTCCTTGCTCAGTGGTGTTGGTTATTAAAAACAGTCTGATAACTTTACACAAAAATGGAAGTTCTCCTCTGAGACAGGTGAAATATGCCTGGTCTCTGGTAGAGTCCAACCATAAAAAGTGGCAAGATGCTTTCTGACTTCTTAATAGCCTAGATGGAAGCAAATGTACTTTTCACTTACAGCACATAAGGTAATAGGCTGGGATGGTAAGGGTGTGGTGGTATTGGCTGCTGTGATTGGTATCTGCTGCGCCCTGTGAGTCTTCGAGGCATAAAAGGTGGGTAAGGCTGCAAGAAAGAAGAAAATAAGCTTCAGCTGAAACTTGTGTCCAGTTCTGGGCTCCCCAGCACAAGACAGACATGGACATACTGGAGAGAGTCCAACAAAAGGCCATTAACATGAGACTGGAGCATCTAATGTGCAAAAAGGCTGAAACAGCTGAGCCTGTTCAGCCGGGAGAAGAAAGGGCTTGGGGGGGCCCTATCAATGCATATAAATATCCGAAGGGAGGCAAAGAAGACAGAGCCAGGCTCTTTTCAGTGGTGCCCAGTGGCAGCTCCAGAGACACTGGGCACAGACTGAAACACAGGAGGCTCTGTCTGAACATCAGGAAACACTTCTTTACTCTGAGGGTGACTGAGCGCTGGCATAGGTAGCCCAGGGAGATGGTGCAGTCTCCTCCCCTCCTGGAGATGTTCAAAACCTGGCTGGACATAGTCCTGGACACCCCGTTTTAGGTGGCCCTGCTTGACCAGATGACCTCCCTTCCAACCTTATCCAATCTGTGAGCCCATGATTCAACATTGTCTATTCTTAATCAACAGTGAAATAATTGAATCCACTTTCAATAAAGCATTGTTCAAAAAATCCAGCCTCTGCTAAAATCCAACAGAATCTCAGCCTCAATTTGAAATTACTATTCCCATTAATAATATAGAATCATACCAATTCATGTGAAAAAGTGGTAATATACAACAGAAACCCTCACAAGTTCTTGGTGTGTTTAGTCTGCAGTCAGTATAGTTTGGGAAGCAGGACATTAATTGCTGAACCTCTTGTAAATATAAAAGGCTCAGGTGCTATTATACAGGCCTGTGCATAAGCAGTTGAATAAAGAAGCCCTTAAAAACTCTTTAAAGATGAGAATTAAAAAAAAATATGTAAAAAAATATTTTAACTTTTAAGCAATGGTATATACTTATATTCAGGCTTAAAGGCTTGAAGCCTTTCAGGTGTAAGTAAAAGTTTGATCAGTACAATTTCTGCAGCTGGACCACACATAGACACTCAAGCCCAAAGTTTCAAGGCATTCATTCCATGGATAAATCAGGGTGCTTTTTGTCATCTTTTACTAAAATGTTTCTGTATTTTCTACAACTGTTTTTGTATTTTCTATAATATTCATATATCCCTATTAAATTCATATTTGAGGGCCTTAAGACTTTTTTTTTTTGAAACAAAGAACACTTTAAGCCTTTACTAACATGTTTTTCTTCTTACATGTTTGAAATTTGAAAGCACAAGAGCCCAACACCCCAAATGACTAACCTAAAATCCCCTAATTTCACAACAGAAACATTATAATTAGGTAGACATGGTCATACATAAAATTAACATACAAATATGAACATATGAACATAAAAACAATGCAAAAGAGCCAGGCTCCTTTTGGTTGAAGTCTCAAATTAGACATATGAAATAGTGATTTTACTGCTTTAATCCAAAAACGTAATTAGAAACTGTTATGTTCACTGAATAAAAAATAATCAGAAACACAGCTATTCCATTCTAATGTTAATGCAAATAAAGCTTTGTAAAGATTTAGTATTACTTTATAAAAGGCCACATAGTTACCTGTAATACATCTCTATTCTACTCCTTAGCAATAAACAACACAGAGCTGAAGCATCAGAGAGGAAAAATGCTACTATCTGCAGAAAACGGTTATTATGTTCCTCATCTACGAAGAAGACTGACTCCAAGCAAAACATGTATGATTAGACAAGTTCATCTAACAAGTATATTGCATAAAATACAAGCAGTTTATGGAAGCTTTCAAATGTTCTGTACTTCAGAGTGTCTCATAGTGCCTGAAAACTTTATTGCAAATCTGTACACCTTTAGATTAGGAGTAAGTTGATCACTGTTTGAAATAGTGGACATTTACTTGAACCTTTATGAAAACTGCACACAACCATTTGACTAGGTTCTGTGATTTCAAGAAGGATAATTGAAAACAACATATCTGTATATTCTGCAGCTGAAGGGCCTAAAATTTAATTATTATTTAGAATTTAAATAACAACATACCCCTAAAAACACTGACAACTTGGTGTGTGTGTCAAACAATAAAAAAATGTATGCACCTAAACCTGGGATCTAGCCATTTCTCCCAGCATCACACAGGCAAGAGAGAGGGTATTTGTATTTTGGTTTTTTTAAAGAAGTGACCGGCACAAAACCACCACAACAGCAACAATAACAAAACCCTGATGTATTTCAGGACTAGTATAATTGCAGATTGAAGTACAAGACAAAGAGATCCTTGAAGCAGCACCACTGGACACGTCACAGAAGCACAAAAAATTCAACAAAATTCAACACAGACTTTATCCTGCACCAATTTTAATTTCATTTTGTGCTGCTGCAGTTGAACTGCCTGTCAATCTCCAGAGAGCTGAGTTAAATCAAGCTTTATAACATGGCTATCTTTATAATATATGGTGTGGTCTAAATTATGGAAGCATTCTACAGCTGCTTAGAAATAATTCTTTTTAAAGCATTCTGGCTTTCTTGAGCTGTGGAAACTCATCATATGATGAAGAATTAACTAAAAGTGACAACAGTTTTCCTGAACTGTATTGATACCTGCAACAGAAGTCTTGGACAATGTGACAACATGGAACGTTTTGTAAGTAAATGCTGCTGCACTCTGCAAATAATGTTACTAGAAATAATTTGCTGGTGTCATTAAATCACCCTTAACTTGATAAACTTAGGCTTAAAGAAAATGCCACAATATGCAGCTATTCCAACAATGGAACATGACTGCACAGGTGTGACTTTTCAACAAAATGTACTACAGAATGAAGATCAAGAATGTCAATGCAGTATGAAAGAGAATGTAGCACAGAAAACAATACTTACTACCCCAAATGACACCTCCTGGTGCAATGGATCATGGGCTAAGAATTGAAGAGGAGCTGAGGGAGGCAACGTTGGTGGATGGGCTGAGGGAGGGTATGTAAAACCTCCTACAGGAAGATGTTCTCCAAGCAATTCTACATCATTTTCTATTCTTTGAAGTGGCTACAAAAAAAAGAGATAGTCTTTGTTGCAGTAACAGAGATGAATTTTTTCCCCAATAAAGAACTGCAGTCCCAGCTGTATATTCTGTGCTGCCATGATCAATTTTATAGTAACTCTGTGAGCAATTCCTAGGTCATTAGCACCACCCAAAAAAGCAAAGACAACACGACACATTTGATATAAATTCATCTTTTCCAGCTAGCCATGCTTATAGACCAGGAATTTATGTGATTTAGCAAATATAAAAGTGGCTGTAATTTCCTGTATCTTGCATTTTTCAGGACAAATATTTGTTCTCCTTGCCAGGCTGCTCTCACTGTATAACTATGCAAGAAAAAAAAAAAAAAAAACAACACATAAACAACCATAAACAAGAACTGAAATTGTGCCAGAAAACTGAGAAGTGGAGGGGAATCATGGTGGTTCCAGTACATGAAACTGATAATGATATCCAGGAAGAAAGCAGATGCTTTCCTAGGAGGGTCGTGTGAGCAGTCCTAACAAGCAGTCCTGAGGTTTCAGAAATATGGGATTCCAGACTGGTTTTGTTGCTAGTCAAATCTATTATATTAGTCAGGTTCAAAAGTGCCCAAGAAACAACCAGGAATTCTAACTGTTTCACAAATACACCATTCTGTTATTGACACTGAACTCCACTATTTCATGAAATTAATCTAAGAAAGCCACCTTGTGGAACGAAAGAAATACTGTTTTCCTGTAATACAGAACAAGATACTCTCAAACCACCATGATGCAAGGTTTTTGGCAGAGCTAAAAGCAGACCTGCAAGCCCAGTTAAAAACCTAAGTAAGCAACTCAAAGTAAAACCAGAGTCCATAAATATTCTAAAGCTAAGTCTCGAAAAGATTTTTACCACAAAAAACCACTTTGTTACGATAGAAATTGCTCTCTCATCACTGTAATGAAGCGACTACCATGCTATCCACAACACAGACATACCGTGAAGGTGTCTCAGCAGTGCTTGCAATAATAAAGCTATATCCTGTTTCTGTGTTACTGAAAACTCATCAGGGCAAACAAATGGATAAGTGCTCAGATAACCACACAGAAAGAGTGGTAGGCCAGAACTGTAAATCTGATTTCCCCCTAAATCCAAAACAGAGTCACATTTTCCTGTGTTTGCATAGTCCATTTCACTAAGCCAAATCTGCTTAAGCAACATCAGTAACTTTCATAAGAGTAAAGAAAATGTCCTAGGAAAAGGACTGGTTATTTAAAAATTAATCAAGAAGTAATACAAAAGAAACATGTATTAAAAGCCACACTCTGTGCCTTTTTCTCTGCTGAACTTTTCTCTGAGATGCCTACTATGCTTACACAACGTCCTCTGGATTCTATTCTGCTTCCTGGGAAAGAAATACCTGATAGTGAGGGAAATACCCATCTTTCTGAGAGAAGTAAAAGCGTATGGACAAATGGCACAGGCAATGACGAAATCTGAAGTGAAAAACTGAACTTCAGGAGTATTTTTTTCATCTTCATATCAAGCGGTAACAATTTGAAAGAAAATCCTTGTTTCCTCAGCCAGGTATCAGTACCATGTGCCCATCCAGCCCATCAGTTCTACTGAGAGTGGGTAAGAAGCATTTACTTACCGACCGTGACTGCTGTGCTTGGAAAGGAACAAACTGTCCTGGAGGAGGTAAGTGAGGAGGGTGGTGTGTATGGATATGAGGAGGATGCAAAAGGAATGGGGCACTAGAAATGAGGGGTGGAAATGCTGCATATGGTACAGGAAGGTGCTGGACTGAGCACGCCTGAAGCATCTGAAATAAAATGAAAACAATACACTTTTGTAGCACAAACATTCCCTACACAATGTTCCACATTCTATGTATTTATTATGTAAAGATATAACTGTAACAGAACAGTTCTTTAGCCTTGCTGAAAAAGCCTCTAAAATACACATAAATAATAACTCATTCAAATACCCAACAACAGTGATTACTACAGAACAGGCTCTAGGGAAGCAGCACAGTGTGACATCTGCTAGGTACTCATGAGGTCACCAGGAGACTGGATTTTCAATACTCCAGAACCAGACAGGCTCCCAAGTGATGAACAGATACAGTTAGCCTAGTTTATTTTATTTTTCCCACATATCTTCATCAAAAGAACACGCCAAAGCAATGGTCTTGCAAGCACTCTAAGTTCTAGATGCAGATAAGGGACTCAGCTGTCAGACTATGCCTAAAGACCTCTGTTGCCTCACATACTATGAACAATTCCTACAGTCTGCTTCATTTTGCAATTTTGGGCAGGTCCTATGCTCTAAAAGCAGCTCCCTAGTGGACAGATACTACAGGAAATAGCTCTTTTTCTCTCCTCCTTTAAAAAGCTGACAAAAAAAGCAACCTTCAGCACTAATGTCTGAACAATAAAATGCACTGCAGGGGAACAGGAATGTATTTTGTGGCACTGTTCAATTTTACTTCCATCTTTCTTTATGAAGGAGCAAGGAACCTGCAATCTCCTTTTTGTTGCACTTTGATCCATTGTGAGAATGTCAGGGATTTCTTTTACGCTTTTAAAAACTACAAGAGCATTAATTAAGATATTAATCATTAAATCTTGAAAAGAAAGATCACCAGTTTTGGTATCTTTTTTTTTCTTATTAGAAAGGTCACACATCATGCATTTACATATTGAGTATAATAGCATAAAATGGTAAAAGGAACTAATTTAAAATTACATTTCAGTAGTGGAGGTGAAACAATCATCTCAATTTGCTATGATCATGACCAAACATAAACCTCCAAATGCACCAAAATACTAGTAGATTAATTTGATCCAACTACTATTTTTAATTTAAATGCTGACTACGCTTTTCTCTCAGTTACTACATCATTTTTTGAAAAAATAAATACCATGAACAAGTGTTTCTATGGTTGTAATACATTTTTATTGTATTTTACTAAACTGAAAACTGTTCTCTGAAATAGCTGAAGATAAATTTGCAGGTAGAACATCTCACAGTCTTCTTCAAAACATGAGATTCTTTGGGAAACACTGAAATAGGATTCTACATGGTAAAGATTACCATAGCTCCTATATATGTTTGATTGGTGCTATGCCCATGTCACTTTTTAAAGCTAGAGCAAATGAGGCAACACTAACTTCCAAGCAGAAAGAAATGAAAATTACCTGTTTATTCACTCAAGCTTTTAAAAAAGTTCTTCAGTTTGGACATATGATAGAATGACCTGGGTTGGAAGGAATCTTGAAGACATTTTGTTCCAAATCCCCTGCCATGGGCAGGAACACCTTTCACTAGACCAGGTTGCTCAGAGCTTCATCCAACCTGGCCTTGAAGACTTTCAGGGATGTGGCATCCATAACTTTTCTGGGTAACCTGTTCCAGTGCCTCACCACCCTCACAGTAATGTTTTTTTTTTCCTAATGTGTAATTTAAACCTATTGTTTTTCAGTTTAAAACCAGTTCTGTCACTACATGCCCTTGTAAAAAGTCCTTTTCTGTCTTTCTTTTAAGCTCCCTTCAAGTACTGGAATTAGGGTACCGCAAAGTCTTCTCTTTTCCAGTCTGAACAAACCCAATTCTCTCAGCTTTTCATCACAGGACAGGTGCTCCATCCCTCTGATCATCTTGGTGTCCCTGTTCTGGACTCATTCCAGCAGTTCATGTCCTTCCTGTGCTGGGACCCCAGAGCTGATGCAGGGTTCCAGGTGGGCTCTCACCAGAGCAGAGCAGAGGGGCAGAATCCCCTCCCTCCCCTGCTGCCCACACAGCTTTGGATTCAGCCCAGGACACCTTTGGCTTTCTGGGCTGGCAGTGTCCATGGCTGGGTCATGTCCAGCCTCTCACCCACCACCACCCCCAAATCCTCCTCACAGGTCTGCTCTCCATCTGCTCATCCCCAGCCTGTGCTGGTACAACCCAAGTGCAACACTTTGTGTTTGGTCTTGTTATACCTCGTGAGATTTCACATGGGCCCATTTCTCAAGCTTGTCTATGTCCTTCTGGATGCCATCTTAGTCTTTGAAGAAATTTTAAAACTCATGAAGTTATTTAATAAATGGCATTTGTTTACTTCATAGTTATGCATGCAATGAAATAGACAAATATTGTGAAGTTCACAGATCAAGCTGGTGATCAAGGTGATGTGCTGGAGGGCATGAGCTACCTCAAGATGTATTTTTCTAGGCTGGAGAAATTGGCTGACAGGAACTATTTAAAGTTCAAAGGCAAACAATGTCTGGCACTGGAAAAGAGTAGCTCCATAGATCAGGACACTCTGAGACTAATCTGCTGCAGTCAGATTTGCAGAAAAAAAAATGGGGTTGTGATGGACACGTACATAATACCCATAATGTACTCAGCCAAAAAGGCTTATGGCATGCATGGCTAAGAAAGCAACTGGTCAAACTAGTGAAGTGATTCTGCCCCTCCATTCAGAAACTGTGACATTTATCTCAAGTCCTGGGTCCAGTTTTGGGTTGTTCCAGTGCCCAACATAGACAATGACAACATGATGACAAGGTTGTGGTGAAAGTCACGATGACCAGTGACTTGCAGAGAACTGCATCAAAGAGATGGCAGAACTAACCTTGTTCTTCTTTAAAAAGAGAAAAGTAAGAAAATACCTTACACCCCTGTGTATAACTACTTCCTGAGAGTGGACAGCAAGAATCCAAGACCTCCTCAAGAAGCAAACTGAAAGAGCACAAGACCAATGGACAAAGGTGCAACAAAGAAGACTTAACCAGACATACAGAGGAAATTCTTTATCACAAAGACAGTCAAACACTGAAGCAGAAACTTAGAGGCATTGTGACATCTCCATACTTGGAAGTTGGTATGGCAGCAGGTGACCACTAGACAACTTCCAGAGTCCCCACTTACGTTAAACCTATTCTTCAATTTTGTGCTTTAAAAGAATAAAGCATAAAGTCCGCCTGCTGATACTACAGAAACCTAAGTGTTTATATGCATTTGTACTGGATCTTTTCTCTCAACACACTTAACTGTTGTACATTTAAAACAAAAAAAACCAGAGCTTTACTCTGGTATGTATTAAAAGGACAACTGCATTGTTGAATTACAAAACCTTTAATGAATTGCACAGATAATATACCTATTCAAAGCATAGGGTAGGATTATTAGTATGGGTTGGATGGATTTCTCCAAGTCCCAGTACAGTTTCAGATTTTTCTCTGTTGTTTCTCAGGACATGTTGCTTTTTTCCTTGCTGAATTTACTATTAAGTATTGTTCCAGTCTTTGTGTACTCATCCTGAGATTGCTTTGCTCGACAACCACCACCAATAAACAGAAGAAAAAGCCTGTCTATCATGCTGCTTCAGGGATACACACTGGCTTGTGTAACAGATTTTCACTATTTGACAGGTAAGGAACAAATTCTTACAAGTATTCCAGACTAGCCAGCACCATGCTGCATGATGAACACAAATTACCCTTACTCTTCAATGAGCAGCCTAAAGAAATAGATGGGTCTTATCAAGGGTCATAGACTTTTTCATGTCACAGAATGCACCACAGGAAAATCAAAGTTACGCACTGCTGGCAGAGATCAACATTATAGCAACATCAAAAACGTTCACTAGACGCTGTATATAGTACTGTGTATGAGATTTTAGATTTATACTAGAAAAATAGATTGAAGCTGGTGTAGTTAGAGAGACCCACTTACTGTGGGAGACACACTGCAGACTGGACGGTGATGGCCACTGAAAACCACTGAGCACCCTGCGACCTGTTGCGTGCTGCGGGCTGGAATGTGCTGGCCTGTGCAAAGGGGTATCCCATGTGGAGCCACAGTTGTCACTGCATATGAAACAGGAACTGTGCCCTGATGGATCTGCAGCAAAAGGAAACGAAAATGTATTTAATAACTTACTGCAAAGACTTAACACTGTTGTACAGCACAATAATGTAAGTTTTACTTACAGATCAGAAAAGTAATATATTCACAAAGGAAGTGTAATAGGAAGTACATGGTTATAATTTCTGTTCATTAAAATGTTTTAATCAGTGGAATGTTATTTATTGATCAGAATTTCTGAGCAAGAGAGATCTCTCAGCTTAACAAGTTAAAACTTCAATGGCACCTTAGTCACTCACAAGCACATCAGACTTATACTAAGACTGCCTACCCTCCCTTCTCTCCCCCAGGTTAATTATGAAATTAACCTTCTTATGAAATACAAAGATGGTAACTCCCACATAAAAAACTAATCTACAAGCAGCTGAAGAATTTTCACAGTTCTGAAGGGTCTGATTCAGTATTAATTCAAGAAACTTGTATCTTTAAACAACAAAACAACTTTCCAAATTTTCTTTCTTCGTAAGAGACCATTCTCTTGATTCACCTTCAGGCCAGCATTTAAGCTAAATTCCTAATTTAAGTAACAGAACAGCTAACTAAAAAGCTGAAAAGCAAAAGTTAACATGACTAAGAGGCAGCAACCCTAACTGTCCAGATTCTTATTAGGAAAACCACGTTGTTTTGTTGGATTTTTTTAACCACTGAACCATCTTTTAACACTTTCATGTTCTAATAAAACTGAAAATGCTTAAGAGTCAGGCAGCAGAGATTAACTGAAAGAAATTATTCCAAAGCTCTCTCTTCCTTCATTATCAGCCAAAACAGAACCTTCTTATTTAAAACGGAGCAAGATCAGCTCCTCATGAAGGTGAGAATGAGTAAAGAGGGCCAAACTACCAAACTGGTAGTGTACGGCCAGATAAAGAGACCAAAATACAACATATCACTGAACACAGGTTAAAAATCATCAATAATGACAGGCTCAGGAAAGACATTGAACTTGAGCCAGTTCTGCTTCTGCTACAAAAAGCTGGGCATAACTGCAATGTGGGATGTAATCCTGGAATGTCTGTTGCTCATAATAATAACAATAAAGAATGACTTCTCAAAATGTTCATGCCCCTGAATTGGAAAGTAGCACCATGGAATACCTCAGTCAATCTGGAAATACTGACAACTGATCACAGATGGTGTTTGGGAGTAGAGTGGAAAACTCTTCAGAGCCAGACTTGTCATGAGCTTACAACATAAAGCAAGAACATTACTGGATCTCCAGCGGAAGAACTCTTAAAAATGTAAGTTTGGAGACTGCTAGAATGGCATTGGCTTCCATCCTTTCACTTGATCCCAAATGCAAGTATTTCCCTGCTGAGAACTGCTCTGCACACACAGTATGACACACCAGCACTATGCATCTGCAGTGAATGCAAGCCAGCTGTTAAGCACAGATGTTACAGCTGCATTCTGTGCGTGTGCAGCTTCTGATGTGGACATCTACAGTCTATTCACTGCTACGTAGCAAGCAGTGTACTTGTTCTGTGGCCTGTTAATTGGGTAGACAACAACAAAGGTTACCTCAACCGGATCACAGAATCATTTAGGAAAAGACCACTAAGTTCATCAAGTCCAACCATTAACCCAGCACTACCATCTCTAAATTACATCTGTAATTGCCACACCTACGAGTCGTTTAAACACCTCCAGGCATGGTGACTCCACCACTTCCCTGGGAAGTCAGTTCCAACACTTGACAACCCTTTCAGTAATTTTTCGTAATAGCCAATCTACACTACCCTTGTGCAATTTCTTCCTGTCCTGTCACTTGTTACATGGGAAACTAATGCCCAACAGGTTGCAACCTCCCTTCAGGTGGTTTTAGAAATTGTCTTCCCAGAGTCTCCTTTTCTCCAAGCTAAACACACCCAGCTCCCTCAGTCGCTCCTCATATGATTTGTGCTCCAGACCCTTCACCAGTTCCACTGCTCTTCCAAGGATGTGTTTCATCAATGCAATGTCCTTCTTGTAGTGAGAGGCCCAAAACTTCTTTTAGAGGTCCTCAGTTACAGCATTCTATACCAAGTGCTGTCTCAGAGAGGAATTATTTATATTCTGGACCAACTCATGCAATTTTTTTCATGTAATTTAAGGAGTTGATTAGGCTTGGAGAGTTAATTTAGTTATGCAACAAAACTATTCTGAGTTCTGCTGCTAGGTAGACAGCCAACCATAGGCATTACGAATTCTACCTCTAAATAATATATTTTAACTATTTAATGACTCCTAAGATACGGTGAAGTATTTAATGTGAAATAGAATATGTAATTATTAAGTATCATATCACATTTTTATTGCAAGAAACTAATTAAGAAAGCAAAATAACCGCATTTCAGTGGTTTGAGACAGAGACATAGAGACATATGCCAATTCACGCACTGAGAAATTGTTAAGTATGAATTGTTAAGTATCAATCTTCTTTATTAAAAGTCTGAACTTCTTGGGTTTTTTTCACTGCCTACTGCAATACTTCATACACATAATATTCAACAAAAACCACTCTGTAAGAAGTCATATAGAAATTAGTGCTCTGTGACTTACATTGTCAACTATGAGATGAGATGATTTGGTGAGAAGAGAGATCCTGAAGACGGTGGAGAAAACCCCCTAAAACCAAACACCACCTTCTGAACAGCCTTCTGATTGTGCTCTAAAAATTTTACCTGATCATGAATGTCAACCATCACTGCATTCTGCTGTGGTGGGTGAGCAGCTGGGTGTAAGATACGAGGAGATACATTCGGTGGGTGAAAGGCTCGAGGCTCTTCTATTGCTTGCTGCTGTCCATAGGAGAGATGGTGATGATAGTTTTCATCCTGGCTAATGGAATTATGTCTAGACAAACGATCTCTCCTTGTTCTCTGTCGTCGAACAGGAGGACTGGAAATGCATTAAAAAAATAAGAGGTTATATAAATGGCACAAATCCTTCTTAGTAACTAAAACCTTAAGAGAATCAAATATCAAGGAATTTTTTGAACTGGAAAATTTTACTAGAATAAGTTTATTAGATTGGAATAAAATTATTTATTGATAGAACTGCGAGATCCTTATAAAAAACTCTTTTTCTTAACACAGCATAACTTAATGTTGTTAGGGAAACCAAGAGAAGAACTCCTTTGTAAATATCACCTTGTGAAAAAAATGACACATAGACTGCCACAATAGTGCTCAAAAGTCAAGATAACAATCTTCATGATATTCCCATGCCTTTATTCTATCTAGGTAAAAATCCTTCATTAAATGATCACAGATTTCCCCAGGGTCTTTGTTTCAACCATGCCACAGAATTATTACTTGCTTAGTGACAGCAGACAAAGCAGTAGACTTCTTTGAAGAAACAAATTAATTTTTCATCTCTGTCATGTTTGCTACATAACTGAGTGCATTCTAAAATTCTCTTCAGGAGATCCCAGGAATTTATGATTGTGGTATGGTTTCTTTTCCAGAGTGGAGAACTTCTATAGTCTATCTCAAGATGCTATTTTCCTACCGTACCTCATAGACATTTTCTGTCACTATTGCCTCTCTTAGAGCTGAAACAAATGGTAATTCTCAGCAGGTCAGACAGAAAGCATAAGGCCAGGCTGTAATGCAGCAAATAAAAATCCAAACTAATTCAAAAATTACTATCTGCATTTATTTTATAAACCACTATGGCAGAATGTACAGGCTGTGTTTTCTTCCAACCACTGAGAAGCTAAATTTCAGTTCTTACTAATTTATTTTAAATCCAGTTTTCTTTCTTGGGAGTTTTGCTGAATTCTGTACTGCTTTATTACTAACATGATACAACTGCTACATTCTTCTTAGGTAAAATTGGCATATATAATATAAATATATAATTCTAATCATGGAACTAGCATTGCAGAAGATCCTCTACTGCCTGAAGTACTCAGTTGTTTTAAATTTGCTATTTCCAGTTATGAAACAGAAATGGTCTGAATATTTTAACATAAAAACACCTAAGTAAGGATTTTTCTTTGGAAAAACTCCAAAAATAGAGGAAAGTTACAAAAGACAGTACCAGTGCTTCAGAGGAACAGAAATTCTCTTAACTGCCACCAGCACTTAGACAAGGTGGCTTCTTAGACAAGGTAGTTCTCATAAAACTAGTTTTGTCTCTGTCTTAAAGGCCTGGTTTTACTTTTCCGTGAACCCAGAATTATGAAAAAGACAACAAAGGCCTGGAGTGTCTTTTAAAACAAATTAGTAAGTATCATTCTCTGGAAAAAGGCAAAGCTGGATTTTTTTCCTGTGCAGAATTCTAAATATACTATCCTTTCAGTCAGCAAAATACCTGGATACACAGCTTTATTAGCTTCTGAATTATTGGAAATTACTTACGAATAATTGCCAAGACATAGGCCTAAACTATTATTAAACTTCAGTAGCAAATTTGTGCTTGAAGTCTTTAAAAACAGCCCCCAAAAAAATCTTTTGTTACTACATGCACAGTATAAACATGGTAAATGCCAGGTTAAAACAAAGAGACAGGAAGAAAATGGTGAAAAAATTGCAGGAATTCCTACCCTCAGGTAAGAACAGCCATCAAAAGGTATCCATAACTGCAGTTAGTATGTACAGATCTTAGTATTTCTAACAAGGGTGATTTCTCTGCAGTAAGACATTCTTGAATCCCTTTAGTTCAGAATTACATTCAAGACAAGGAGGAAAGGAAGCACAGATGAAAGGTAAGGCACAACAATGGTACAGATCCCCCCATTTCACAATGACTGATAAAGATCAATTGGAATGGCCTTCTCTGTTTCACACAGGCATGCGTTATACTTTTACATTCATAATTTATCTGTACTATACATATGTTTCTACATAAAAATCATCTTTCTGCAAATCAGAACAAAAAACAACAAATCGGGGCACTCTTGTGTTAGGCACAGTACAAAATCACTGATACCAAGAGGTAAGGTTAAAATCGTAAGGCAGGTAATGAAAAAAAAAAATAAAATCCAGTAATAAAAATAACCAAGACAGACTGTCCTGACCAACAGGAGTGAACTGGTAGGATGGAGAAGTTAATGCTGATGACACAAGGGCAGAGATGTCTACACTAGACACACTTCAAAGGTTTTGCCTGCACTTGCCCTAGCCTGCTTCCTTGAGCTCAATGACCATTTGCAGCTTTAGTGCACCTTTCCTCTTATCTTAACCTGAAAACCTGGTGAACTCTGAAGCCATTCTGTAATGAAAACAGAAAAAGCAAGGTAAATAAAAAATCTGCTTCAAAAGCATAGGCATAACCTCACCTAAAGCATTAATAAGAGATGCACTCATAACAATCTTAAGGACTCAAGCTTTTGATCTATGAGAATGGCTATTAGTTCTGGTATGACTCCAGAGAACTCTTAACTCAGATTGACTCCTGTAATACAATAAACATGTATGTACTGTTCTCCCTAAAAACCCTGGTTCTAGAAGAAACTATGTGCAATGCTATTGCGGAACTGACCTGGAGCTAGCTCAAATGCAACACTGCACCCAAGCTAAAAAATGCCCTGACTCAAGTGCACGGAAACAAAATACTCCCACATTTAAGTGTTTCTGATAAGATCAAAAACTTATGTTATTACCCAGCAGCAGTCAAGCTGGGTAATTACAAAATAATGTTTGTGTTCATAAAGCCACCTAACAGTTCTTGTCAGACTGCAGATGGTTTTGCCATGACGTTTCCCTCTCTTTGCAGGTGGCTTACTTGCAAAAAGCCACAGGAGACTACTTCATTAGCACCTGACTGCATCTGAACATCAAGACACTTGTCCCATGCACATTCAGCTGCTACACATTTCCATTCTTATCCTCCATCCCACAGTATATCCAAATTGTCTAGATTCTGCTATCTAGCATTTAGCTAGATATATAGTTAGTTAAGCACGCTGTTTAACTCTGCAGATGTTAATGAACACTGCAAAGAAATCTGTGTAAGCTGACTGGACACCAAACAAAAATGACTGAATGAGCATAATCTAGGCGTGTCAGTTCAAAACATTTGAGGTCAAGATAATTTTGTGGGGCCAAATGCCCCTAACAGAGCATCCTTGCACTGAACTATATGAAAGGTCTGATCTTCTGTCTTCACAACAACCCTTCCAAGTTCACAATTTAACCTCTTTCCTAAGTCTGACAAGCTGCATTGAGAACTGCATATTTTACATGCCACTGACTGAAGGTTTTCAAATTCTTGAAGTTGAAGCAAAGATACAAAACTAGCACGCTCTAAGCTCTCTTGCTTCAAAACTACTGGTTGATCATTGTTGACAAATTTGATTTGTGGAATCTGAAGAAAACTAGCTAAATATACCTTAAGCCTAAATTTCATATTAATGAAAAAGGACAGACACTTTTTTTAAGTACAAACCAAGCCAAAAGATTTCTTAGAAGCAGAGACAGAGTGTTTTAACTTGCATAAGATGACTCAGTATTTTTGAGGCAGAATGTGAGGCAATGATAGCTTCTGTTTTGGAAAATTATTTAACTAGAACAGCAAAAAAATCTGTGAGTTTATGTTTTGCTAGAGTATCATCCATCCAGGCCCCAGTTCCAATTTCTCTTCCATGACCACTGAAATTTATTCCAAAATCTCTGGTTTGAAAAGTTAATGAGCTTCAAGCTAAAACTAATACGAAAATCTAATTACTGCTGCATGTGAATCAGCCACCTCAGCAAACATTTGACACTATGCTAACCTTCTCATCTCCCCAGCTGGTATCTCTCATCTTTATTTTGATTGGTTTTAAGTACAAAACTAATTGTGACTGTAATGCAAATGATGGTATTACATTACATTCTTAACACCTTTAGAAGTACCCCGATGAGAAAGATTTTTCCTTGCACTTTTCTACATGCTTTGCCTCAGTGCAGAGTAATAGAGAATTATGTTCATAATAAAACATGTTTGGAGCACCCCTTCCCTCAAGCTGGCTTTTCACATTAATCACAAGCCTGAAATACTTCCAGTAGCCTTTTAGTCACAACTGCATTTTCTTACAGCTCAAAGGAAATGGCAATCTGTTTACCACGTGTAATCTAGTCAGTGCCACCCAAAACACACCTTCCTTGAGTTGAAATCAGAAAGAGTATGAACTTGTTTCCCAAACTACACAGCTTGCTTACCTCCTCCTGTTTCGTGCAGGTGTGTTGCATCGTTCCCCTGAGAAGTGGTGTTGGTTGGGCCGAGCCAAAGCAGGCTGCCTATTTGGTGTCATCTCCCATGGTCGCATTGGTGGTGATGGGGCTGGTGATGCTGCTGTGTAGTCGAAGACTGAATGGGAAAGGCGTTGTCGCTTGGGACTAGGGCTGTCTTCACTCTACACCAGTGCAAAGAAAACAAATCAAAACAAAACCACAACCAACCTCAGATGAGTGAATTGCAAACCATACTTCAGTATTGCTTTGCACCTAGCATTAAAAGTGACTCATTAAAGACACCATTAAATTTAGTACCTGCAAGTATTCACCTTCATACTGTGTTTATAAACACAGATTTTTTTTATGGTTCCCTAACCCCTAGAAAAGTTACTACTTAAATTACACTTTAGCAGCACTAAAATATTAAATTCCAACATCCATGCAAAATCAAAACTCTATCAGAAAAGATTAACATGAGGAAGGTAAGGTCTCACCTGTTATACATTCCTCCTGCCTTAGCACTTAACAGGCTACAGAAGCATGGGAAGATGTACAGTCTTCAAAGCAATGGAATCTGTACTTGTCAGTAGGCAGCTGCCACAACAGAGCTTGCTCTATGCATTGGACCTCCTTCCCATCAGGCCTGTACATAGCTAATCAGACAGTTGCTCTGCACTGCAACCCATTTGAATTCTGCTAACTCAGCACAGAGATGCTTCATTCTTCTAGTTATTCATGTAATTGCAACCATTCATACACATAATCGGAAAAAAATCATCACTCTCCGGTTAAGTCTGTCTACTTCATTAAAACCCACAAGGCTACGAAGTCCCTGAAATTTTCAGTGCTAGTGATGTGAAGGTCATTCACCTCCAAGCAATGTTTTCCCAGTTGGTTATGAACACAACTTTCACTGTGTGTCCATGCTATTGAACAATTTAAGGGTTGTCATTCTTCTCAGACGCTCCCACCAATGCCTATGAAGCCAGCAGAAAATGCAATAAACATACCTCCCCTCCACCTCACTATTCTGCCAAAATTAAAACACATCATGCTGCTAATAGACATGACAACTGAAAATACAGAAAAGTACACATCATACTTCAGAGATCAGTAACTGAACAAAAAACTAAAACCATATGAACTGCCACTGGAACTATCCTTGTGTCTAACATCCTGTGAACTTCTCTGACAGGATTCCTAGTGCAAGCAAACTTGTAGTATTTAGCTGCCTTTCAGCTTGTCCAGTCACTCCACCACTTCCATTTCAGACAACCACATGATTTCAATCACATTTGCATGTAACTGCAGATAGCTGAAGCAGAGAAAACAACATGTCTGCAATGGCTTTGCATTCTAGAACTGCCCCCTCTTAGAGGTCTCACTGCAGACTTAACTGTAGACTGGACTATGGACCTCTCCTGGCTCTTGGTTTTACAGGGGCATTTTATTTTCTGAATTGTATTCAGTTGCTTCTTGGTAGGCTTCCATCAACACATAGTTTGTACTCCAGCATTCTTTCCAATGCAATGACACACCTTTCAAGAACTAGAAGTTTTGTTCAGGTGCTCAAGAGACAAAAGGTGTCTTCCTGTCTTTGACTTGTGGCCGTTTTTTACAGAATTTTAGAGCTTTTCAGTCTCTTGTCTTCAAATACTTTAACACAGATTCTAGTTTTCCCTACTGTATATCTTATCTAAAACAGTCAGATTCCTTAGAGAACCAGCTTGATAATGCATGCATCTGCTTGTTGCTCTATCTCTTTTGAACTCCTTAATCACCTGCACTTTAATTTTTTAAAGAAAAATAGGTCAAAAGGCAGGTATGCACCTAATGGTTCAGGACAGCAGTTGTCCAAGTAAAGGGTGACTCTTCCAGAAGGCTGCTTGCCTTGAGAAGCTAAACACCAAGCAAAAAACCCCAAAAAACCCAGGAAGAGATACCCAGTAAGTGCCTTGAGAGCACAGTTTCTGTGAAAATACGTATTTTATTAGATTTCAGAGACCACTGCCAAAGGACAAATCTTAAAAGAACTATGCTACAAGAGTCAGAGAAGGATTATTTGTGGCCCAACTTTTTACACCATGATGACTAAGCCTATTCAAAGAGAACGACAGGTAATAAAAATGCTGGTAAATTAGGTATGCTGGGATTTTGTGAGTGCAAAAGAAAAGGTCAAATGGAGGAAGGAAAAAAGTGGATTTAGTGAAGCTGGCTGAAAACAAAACCTTGAAAGTTTAAATGTGACACCCATCCCAAGCATTAACACTAATGCACCTTGCTCCGCAGAAAGCATTCTACTTTAGAAAAACAGCTCTTCTATTATTTTTTAACTTTAGCATCAGGAGTGCACTATTTCAAAGACTGTGGAGATGTAAACTGCTAAGTAGTTTGCCTTCATCATCACTCCAGATTACTAACTCTCACAGATATTTAAAACTCTCAAAGTGCTAACTCCTCTCTGCTGTAAACAACAGTAATTTCACTCAAAATTGTTTCCTATTAGAAATATAATAAAGGTAAAATAATGTTTTGGAACTACATCTACAGAGATTTAAAATGTAATTGTGTCTTCTTCTGTACTGAAAAAGAAGTAACCTAAGTTCAACTTATTTGCAAACAAATGTTATAAAAGCCCCAACACAAACCTAGTTAATAGAAGACTTGCTGTTTTGTCTTAAGTTTTTATTAAGAAACCAATTCTCATGTGATAATTGTATCAGGATAATAGTATCATGCAGGAAATACAAGGAGTTAATAAGATACACATATCCTGTATAATTTTGTTTTCAGGTTATTTTCAATCGGCACGTGGAAGAACTATATATTGACAGTATGTTTTTTCAGTTTACATTATTATTGCTCATTAAGTTCAGTAGTTTACTTGTTGGACATGATACTTTCCACATTGACAAGAGCTTTCCAAATCCCGAAGAGCTCTTATTGTTTCTTGTTAGTACCCAAAATATTTTCTAGGACTACTGTTACTTTTTCCAGCCATACGTTATTTATTTTTCTTATGTCCAACACACAAAAAGAACAGACTAGATGGCAGTTATCAAGAACACTCTACCACAAGATAAACTCACTGCCCTTCTTTAAAAAAACACTGAACCGAAAGAGCACAATGAACAAGAATACAGATTGCTTTGTATTTAAAGGAACCAGTATCAGGACAAAGTCATCAGCAGCATATGTCAGGCCACTAAAACCTACAGTCTTGTCCCTAAAAGTCAGCATTTCACTGACATTCCCAAAAGTAATAATTTCACTGATATGCACAGTATAGTTGACTAATTCTCATCTGTGTACCCCATAAACTCTCATAACTGTAATGGTAATAAAGGTGAATACAGAGTATGCCTGTTTGCAAAACTCCCTTTTAGAAGTGTTTCTTCTATTTCTGTATATGTTTCTTGCATTAATGCTTTATCTGAAAGCTCTTCCATTTTATTTGGGAAAAAACAGGTATTTTCACTGAGACAGCATCCTGTGAGGTTTATTTTCTTGACTGTCCTTTTCCAGTAAAATTATAAATATTGCAGCCACACACTGATTATTAACCATCACAGAAGGGAATTATTACCAAAGCAATTACTGCAAATATCTGAAAATCATTTTCCTCTCCAACTCCTTATATATTTCCACTTAATGGTCCTGTAAAACACAAGAAACTTCTCCATATCCCCCACCTCAAATTCAGAAAATAAATTACATCTATTCTGTAGCCCACAAAATACCTGTATCTTAAAAGTTAACTAGTACTTCAGGAGTATTCTCATGCAGAGCTTTACATAAGGACAATCTGATGGGTATGCCCTATAAAACCTTACCACAGGCTGACTAGAAATCATCAGCTACATGTTTCCTCTTCATGAGTGCATACTGAAATTATTTTTCCCCATGACACTGAAGCCTTAAGTTTCAGCTTTCTTATTTTTCAGATTCTGTGCTGCATAGGTGTGTAGTTCTGAGCTTCATATTAAGTGTTGGTAAGCACTCTTCACAGAGTAGCTAGATGAAACAATTCCTTTTCTAGCTTGGGACCTTTTCTAGCTAAGGACAACTGTTACAAGTTTCAGACTCAAGAGCATAAATGACGGTGAACTGAAGAGAGAAAACTAGAAGAATGCGACTTCATAATCTCAAATTGTAATTGGATAATCAACCCCAATGTGCAAATGGACCAAAACTGAAGGAAGTGTGGGACCTCGTAACCGGTTGTCCATTTTGTGACCATTCTGGGTTCATCTTGGGTGTAGCCCAGGCCAGGCTCTTACACTGCTCAAGGTGTATCCTTTAAGGCCTTTTAATTTATACCTACTTTATTCTTTAACTCTGTCTAGCCTCTGTTCTAGGTCAGCCTTCTCAAGGCATCAATACAAGCTGGTAAACATCAATATTTTTAAGTATTTTCAAATGTAATTATAGGCATCTAATGGGCTAGTAAACTGAGTATTCTGCATATCCTATCTGCTCCAACAATTCTAACAACTGTAATTTGAATTACCTTTTAACATTTCTGTTAATCTGACTGTACCTACAATAACAGTAAGTTCTTGGCTGAACAGACAGTTAAATCCAAATGCAGTGTGGCTTGTTCATAATCCAAGAACAAACTAACTGTAAGTACATTTTTTGGCCTAGGTCGAGTAAGTTCTGGAAGAGCTGTTCCCCCACAGCCCTAAAACCAAAGCAAGAGAAAGCACTTGTGTGACAGATGGAGCCACTGCAGGCCAGATGGCTTTGTAAGCATTACTGTGTTCTTCCATCTCTCCCACAGAAAGCAGCAGCTGCGGAAGTTTTAACTTCGGTGTGGCATTACAAAGTAGAGTTTACAAACTCACACAACGCTGCTGCAGCTGGCACTGTAGATACAAATTCTGCAGGAAACGAACAAAATAATTCAGATAGCTACAGCCCCTGCAGCTCCTGCCACCAAGAGCCTCACTCACTTCTACCGCTGGCACTGCAAACCTGGTTGTTGCCAACATCTCCAGTGAGACTCCAGCTGCTGGCCTGGTTTCTACTCAAACTGGTCTCACCTAGCCCCTGCAGCACTTACATACATGGTATAGAAAGTGAAATTACATAGAGAAGCAGTTAAGAAAAGAGCTAATAAAGATTAGCTTGGCAGCTAATCTCTGCCAAGACTGCAGAGATCAGGCACAGGGCTCAG